GCCCGGGGGGGGAGAACAATGCCCGGGGGGGATAGAATGTCCGGGGGGATACAATGTGCGAGGAACATTGTCTGAATAACTCGGGGAAACAACCCGAGGATAAGAGCGTCATTCGTTTCCCGTGAGGAAGGAAATAAGAGCGTTTTCTGCAATGGCTGAGGCCGTATGCTTATAGTGTAGAAGAAGGTTACAGATAACTTTCCAGGAACATCTTCTTGACGGGTCCTGCTGGATGCACTGTATGATGGTAGACTTTATCGGTTCCCAACCGTTATCCAAGTCTTGGATGATTTCGGGCGCGACATCGCTGAATCCGCGAACCACTCGGATCTGCGTAGGACTCAATTGCGGGTATGGAATTTTCTTCAAAAGAACAGCTGCTGTTGTCAGCCCGAATGAGTAGATGTCTGCTTCGACAGTGTTACTCTTGCAGATGATCGGTTTCCTCAAAAATTCCGGAGCTAGAAAATGTATACTTTCCCGTTTTTGAACCGTAGGCACGAGCTGAAGTGTGCGTGTTTGTAGCGCACATTTGGGACACGGTACCGATTCGTCCAAATCCAGGACTACGGGCTGGAAAGCGCGTTCAATCATGTATTCGCAGTAATCGCCGAGCTTTGCTTCATGCTGGTCGGTGAGCAGTATGTTGCTGGGCTTTATGTTCCCGTGGCAGGAGACTCCGGCTTGCGGGTCGTCTCGTCCTGCGGTCCTCTGTAGGTAGATAAGACCCTGTAGAGTGTACTTTAAAATAAGCATGATATCGCAAGTATCCAAGTTCAAAGAGGCCACGGAGGTTTTTGCGGGCGCTTGCGCTGCGGGCGGCAGAGACTTTATCCTGCGGTGCTCATTAAGTACCTGCTGGCTACCTGTGTTCAAACGACCTGGAGCCTGCCCTAGGGGAGCCGCCTGTCTTGGAGGACCCGAGGGCCCTGGGGGGGCGGCCTGACCGTGACCTGGAGCGGTCTGCCTCGGGCCGAGAAATGGTTTGGTGAGTATTGGTACAGGCGAGACGCAGAAGCCCATGGACGGCTTAACCGACGGGACTAACGGGACCGTCGGTGGGGGGAGGGGCGTCTTCTTCTTGAGCAAGAGCCGTATGAGAAGGTCGAGGTGGTAGTCTCGGTGGCAGCAGGCATTGGCCGTTGAGAGCCCACCCGCCGCGAGTACCGACAAGTCTTCGCGCCAGGGATCGGCCTCGCAAAAGGTTAGAGGCATCGACGCGCCAGAACAGATGTTCTGTATGGGCACCGTCCGGGACGTGGCACTGGTGCGAGGCCCCCAAAACAAGGAAGGCAGGTACCCGGACCTTCGACGACGGCCAGTGCCAATGCGGCTTCCCACGCCACTTCCAGCTGCAACTCCGTTACCGACTACGCCGGGGGAGGAGCCAGCGCCTTCGCTCGGGGCGGTGCCACCACCGGGTTCGGCGCCGCTTCCTCCCTCGCGGTCGAGCAACCGCGGGGAACCCCTGTCGGGGTGGTCTCGTTGCCAAAAGATGATACATTCGTTATTGCGTCCTGGGCCCCAGGGCATGTCGCGACTTTGAGGTTGGCGAAAGAGGTTGGCGAGAGAGCCTTTGTGAAGATACTCGCTCACAACGCACCATAGGAAGGGGGGTTTCATAGCAACGCCTAGCACTTGGATCAGGTTGGGGTGTGCCAGTGCGGCTAGCATCTTGCAATACTGTACCCAAGCATGACTATCAATCAGCTTGCCCGTAAAAACCTTAATGGCAACTGTCTTGCCCAACCATGAACCTCGATATGTTGAGCTCGTAGCACCTGGCAACAACGCCTCAAACTTCAACTCCTCTATAGGTATCAGAAATTCCCGTACCAATGAACTGATCGAAGTGAAACTCTCACTCGGTAGCCCACAACCAAATAACTTACAACCGGATAACTTACAACCAGATAACTTACAGCCACTTCCCTCCAACGGGACCGCACCGCACCGTCGAATCTGGTCACGTAGTTGTTCTAATTCCAAGCGGATACCCAACGGCAAACCAGGACTCGGTAATAACTCGTCCGTCTTCGCGCTACTCGCAGAAGACGAGGACGAAGACACCGCCGACTCAGCGAGCGCTCGATCTTGACTCCGGTTCCCATCGCCAGGCTCAGCGACGCTGGTGTGGGTCTTGGCCGAAAGCAGTCTAGTGTTGGTCTCAGACGCCTTAGTCCCTAGGCAGTTTGTTCCAGTGGCCGTCGCCCCAGTGGCCGTGGCCCCAGCGGCCCCGGTTGACCAGCGGCTGGTTCGGCCGCTGTCCGCCGAAGACGTGGCTGCGCGGGAGGCTGCGGTGAAGTTCACGACGCGGCTGTCGTAGCTCAACGACGAAACTGGAGACTTGTGTCTTGGCAGCCCTGTTGGGAAATTTACCCGCTTCGGCAGGCCGGAGGGGAGTCCGGCAGAGAGAACGACTCTCAACAAGTTGCCTACCGCCTTCATGGCCGAGCTCACGGGCGCCAAAGCTTGGCCGCTGGCTTCTTTGCTTCCGCTTGCAACCAAGTCCGACGCACGGTCTTTGTTGCTCTTGTCTTTGCTGTTCGGCTCTTTGCTGCTGGCACGGAAAACCACCTGCTTTTTGCGCGGTGGATCTCTCCGTCTCGCGTTGGTTGCTGGTCGTCGGCCGCGGGGCTCAGCCAGTGCGCGTTCCATGTCGCGCCAGGTCCACTTGCGCGCCGCCATGTAGGCAACGACCTCGCGGCTGCACGGCCGGAAACTCTTGAGCCACTTGGAGAAGCTCTTCGCGTCCATCTGGCACGGACACACTGCCGCCGAGGTCGTCACACCCGCCGCGGTCGTCGCACCCGCCGCGGTCGTCGCACCCGCCGCGGTCGTCGCACCCGCCACGGTCGTCGCATCCGCCGCAGTCGTCGCACCCGCCGCCGTCGTCGTACCCGCCGCGGTCGCGCACTGCTGGACTGAGAGACTGCTTCCTTGCCCCGAACACGCGTGCCCTGCACACGTGTGTGCACCCGCGCGCGCGGGGGACACCCCCCCGGGCTCGAGCGAGTCGCCCTCGCTCTGACTCATACGCGTGTAACAGAGAAAGTTCTGCGACCGGAAGACCCCCCGGCGCTCACGACCCGGCGGAATCTTCCGACCATCCTGGGCGTTCTGAGAGAAACGACCGAAAGCACTCGATCCGGCCTGGTCGCCCTGTGACGGAAGGTCTTGCGAAACAGAGTCTCTTCCGCGGTCTTCTGCACCCGGCTCCCGCTTTTGTGTACCGCGGTCCTCTTCACCTGAACCCCAGCTCTCTTGACCAGACCTTCGGTCCTGCGACCCTCGGGCTTGCGACCCTCGGGCTTGTGACCCACTGTCTTGGGTGTCGGAGTAGCGCGAGGGAAAAAGCCGCGAGATACCTCCGCCCTTGCCGTCCAGGTTGGCGAAGATGGGTCCGTAGCCGTTCGTCGGCGCGGCGGTGCCCTCTACGGTGCTGACGAACTTGGCGGCGGAGGAGCCGGAGCCGGGATACGTGTTAAAGTTCGGGTCTCCGGAGCTGAGGTATTGGGCGGAGCCGTGTTTTGGGAGTGCGGCTGGGTGCAGGACAGAGCCGGGATTCGGGCTCACGACCTGGTGCTGGCAGCAGCCGGAGCCCGGGCCGGACCCCAGGCGGGAACCAGTACGGTGGCGGACAGATTGCGGTTCGGGGAGGCGGGTGTCGCGACTGGAAGACTCCGAAGAGCTGTCGTCGGCGTCGGCTTCCCCCTGGACGGCGACCAGTGCGTGGTTGACGAGAACACCGCGGCAGTACTCCTCAGCCCAGGTGCAACCGCAGGCGAGGTCGCGACGGATGCCCTGGTCGAGCAACTCGCCGCGGCTCCAGAGACCGTGCAGTACGGTCATGTCGCGGACACTGTACAGCCGGCCCTCGCCGTCCCACAGATCCTCGAACCATTCGCCGTCGTACTGCACGTCCGTCGCCTCGTGGATAAACGTACCCCGCCCGTGTCGCTTTCCCGCCACCACGCGGCCAGCGTACGCCGACCCGTCCGGGTAAAGAATCACGCCGTTCCCTCCCTTGTCGGGCGGCGCCGTGGGTCGAGCAGGCGACTGAGGGGTTGCGACCACCTGCGCCGCCCTCTGAGCCACCGAAACAGCGGTATTAGACCCCCCACGGAAGCGGAGGCCGCTGGCCTCCAGGCCGCCGGACTGGCCTGACCGCGCGGTGTACGGCGACTCTTGCTCCTCCGCGAGGTGCTGTGTAGTCAAGTGCCGAGTGCTCACCTGCCGAACCCTATTCCTGCCGTTCAAATCCGGAGTGCCGTCTCCGTGCTCGGCCTCCGGCGGCCGGACATTCTGGAGGCAGCCCGGAGCAGTAGTGAGTCTTGGTACCTGCGGCGGCAGCAGTGGTGACGGATGTAGGTGCGGAGATTGCAACTCCACCATTTATATTTCGCCCGTCCCGTGTGGCGTGATGAGCAAGCTTGCACACCACTTCAGGTTCCACCCCTGTTTGTGCCCTGAAGACTTTATTGCAGTAAGTGTTAGTCCGCACACGTGTGTGTCATCGCGAGCCATGTGGCTGTGTGTTGACGCGCGCCTGTGAAAGAAGTGTGTTTGAAAGAAGGGTGTGTTAAACAATGTATGGTAGGCGCCGCATAATGAAGGCATTCCGGCGCAGTATGTGCACCACTTCATTCTGCCTTCGGTGAAGCCTATTTGGCCGGCGGACTTTCGTGTGCACATCTGCTACATTCCGACGACGTTTGAGGCGTATGCGTTTACAACGGGGACGGAGCCTTTGTCTGAGTTTGGTAGTGAGTGGGTGTTGGGTCTGTTGACAACGAAGCAAGAGTTTCCAGGTGGATTTGTGGCGGAAGACATCGACTTTTTGTCTTTGTTGTCCACGTTGATAACGAACATTCCAATTGCGGGTACGCGAATGATTGCTTTCGCAGATACGCCCTTCGAGCCGCAGACGAAACGATACCGTGTGGACGAGACTATGCCAGCAGACCCATTCAAGGAAGTACGCGAATGTCCGTACACGGCCATTCCGGGTGCGGTCGTAGGGACCGGAGACCTAGAATTTTACGGAGGACGCGGCGAAAATCGCTTCTGGTTAGCCGAAGTTACCACCCCCATCAAGCCCAACACAGGTTCAGGCTTCGGCAAACTTCACCGACGTATCGAATGGTTCATGCACTTCTACATAGACGCTCTCTCACCTGTCGAACTAGAATCTCGCTGGCGGGTCTTCGTCGTCTTCCGCTTCTTCACTGACCCGTCACCGTTAACTGTTATTTCGGACGACCTTCTAAGACACAAACAACTTGTCGCAACGCAGGACATGGGGAGCGACGCAGCAGCCATGGGGAGCAACGCAGCACCCACCGCGATGGGGAGCAACGTAGCACCCACCGCGATGGGGAGCAACGTAGCACCCACCGCCATGGGCAGACTTCTGAAAGATGAGCTCCTTAACGAAGTCATCAACAATCCCAACCAACCAATGGAAATTCTTGGACTCATCACCGCCTTCCAGTTCTTCTCGATGCCCAAAGATCGTATACGCATCTCCCAGTTCTTCCTCTTCCCCAACCGACAGCGGCAAGGCCTCGGCAGACTCGTGCTCCACGTGCTGATGGAAATACTGGCCGCAGACGACAGTAAGCACAATTGCACACATCTGCGCCGCCACACACACACACGCGTGTGGGGAACACGCGCGTGGCAACACGCGTGTGGCAATCACAGAGTGAAAACACACAGTTGCGATCCCACCGTTGTTTTGTAGACATCCAGCAAGTGTCGGTGGAGGATCCGGCGCCATTATTTCAGAGGCTGCGTGACACTGTGGACCTTGAGCGCGCATTGAAGCGGCGTTTGCTGACTCCTGAGTGTCTATACCCACCAGAGGAGTCAGGTGTCAGTTGCGAGGAGGTGGTTGCGAATTGGTCACGATACGACGAGGTGTTTAAACGTCTGTTAAAGGATGCTCGTAACCAGCGGCGAAGGTTGCGGTTACTGTTGTGTTTGGCTCAGGTGTTGCCTTCCTCCTTATTATTGGGGCCGGAACAGCCCTGGAAAAGTTTCGAGAAGAATCACCCGGCCATTAGCAAGTGGCGTGTGGCGGAGAAACAACGACTCCGCAAGGACTCATTAGACTGGTACACGCAACCTCAAATGGACGTCCGTATGGTCCAGAATGCTCTGGAAGAAGAATGGAACAACCTCTTCACCAGCCTCTGCTACAGCATCCGTAAACTCCGGCTACTTCACCCTCTCGGCGGTATGCCTGGCATGCCTGGTATTCAAAACTCCTTGGGACCTCTACCGCCGGGAGCTATGCCTCCTCCTGGTACCCTACCCCCTCCAGGTACCCTACCACCCGGGGCCCTACCACCTGGAGCCCTAGCTCCCGGGGCAATGCCTCCAGGAGCGATGCCTCCTCCTGGAATGATGCCCCCCGGGATGCCCCCTCCTGGATCCATTCCACCTGGAGCCTTCCCACCTGGCCCCTTCCCACCACCTGGCTCCATCCCACCTGGAGTTCTGCCCCCTCCGGGCTCGATTCCCCCCGACGGCATGGGACCGCCCGACGCGGACATGCGACTCGGAGACCAACAAGACAACCTGCGAGTGCTATAAATTCCAATGCTGTCCCCGAGATACTGGCCTCGTTCCCCCGAGATACTGGCCTTGGTCCAGGGATCTTGGTCCAGGGGTCTTGGTCCAGGGGTCTTGGTCCAGGGGTATTGGTCCAGGGGTCTTGGTCCAGGTGTCTTGGTCCAGGGACACGGATACCGCTTGACGACGACCGGTGCCTGATCCGTCCGACGGCCCCGCCGCTGGTCTCTACCCGAGTGCTAGAAACCGAAACCTATGAGGACCGAAATCTATATCTCTTTCTTCATCCGGCCGGCGGTGGGCAACTGACGAGCAAGCTATAGATTTAGAGGGCACGCGGAGACGTCCTTTTAGTCGTCCATTGCTCCGTCTAGTTAGTTAGCGTTCATATTTCAGCCAACAGCTGACGCCGCGGCGGTCGAGACGGATTCGGTTGAGACGAATTGAAACATAACCGATCCCAGTGGCGACTTGACGCAGCTTCTGGTACCGAGCTCACGTCCTATTTTAATGTGCCAGAAAAGTGTGGAGCTTCGGCAGAGCTGCGGAAGGCCGTCACCAAGTGGTTAGGTTCACCAAGTGGTTAGGTTCACTGTGCGATTCGTATCCTGCAACCGCAGCCACCCCGCAATAACCTTGATGTCTTAAACCTATGTTTAAATGAGAATGAATAGAGGAGGGAGGTTTTTGGGGAGGCGGTTAAAGGGGGAGTAAAAAAAGGTATGAAATGTGAGTTGTGCCGGACGAGCGTGCCTCATATAAAGCGGAGTAAGCGTTAGTCTGGTGATGACAATGTTGCAGGTGGGAATGGAGAGGCAGTGTGTCGGTCATGTTTCGTGCGCGTGTTTGAGGACGAAGTGCACGCAGTAGTGCGTCGGTATGAATTATTAAGACCGGGTAGTCGTGTTTGCGTGGGGGTGTCTGGTGGTAAAGATTCCTCAGCGTTGTTGCACTGTCTGGTCGTGTTGAAGGAGCGGTATCCGGACGAGTACGGAGATGTGGAATTGGTCATGCTTGCGGTAGATGAAGGTATTGCCGGTTACCGTGACTTCTCACTCGAGTGTGTCGAAAAAGCCCGGGCAAGGTATCAACTACCCTGCACCGTGCTGAGCTACCAAGACCTCTTTGAAGGTTGGACAATGGACAAGATTGTCCGATACATAGGCCTACGCCAGAACTGCCTACACTGCGGTGTGTTCCGTCGACAAGCACTCGAACTGGGCGCTAGAAAACAGGGCGCCACTTGTATCGCCACCGGCCACAACGCCGATGACTCTCTTGAAACCATCCTCATGAACTACCTCCGCGGAGACATCAATCGACTCAAACGCTGCTGTGGCATCATCACCGGCCGCCTCTCACCAGCCACCAAGAAACGCTTCCCTACGGAGGTCTCTGTCCCTACGGAGGTCTCTGTCCCTACGGAGGTCTCTGTCCCTACGGAGGTCTCTGTCCCTACGGAGGTCTCTGTCCCTACGGAAGTCTCTGTCCCTACAGTCGACCCGCTCCCGCGTATAAAGCCGTTTTACTTTAGCAGTCAAAAAGAAGTTGTAATGTACTGCCACTTCCTCAAGCTGGACTACTTCAGTACTGAATGTCCATACTCACAAAATGCATTTCGTGGGAATGTGCGCCACTTAATAAAACAAGCTGAAATGATCGACCCCTGTTTCATTCGTCGCGCACTTCTCGCACACACACCAGCACCGGATCAGATCCGAGACCAGACATGTTCGACCGAGACAACGCGTGGCATAGCCCACGGCTGCACGATCTGTGGTGTCCCCTGCATCAACTCCGATCTCTGCCAAGCCTGCCTTCAAGTCCAACGTCTAAACCTCAAATACCGACCTGACGACTTCAAAAACCGCCGTTAGAAAACCATGAAGAGGCTATATGGTGGAGGTCTTCCGTTTCGTACTGGACTGACGGTACTGGACTGACGGTACTGTTACTTCTTCGCCAGCTTGCGCAATTCAGCTGAATCTAACGAAAACAAATCTGTAGCATTTTACTTCACGCGGATGCAGAGTGTACCTGATGCAGAGTGTACCTGATGCAGAGTGTACCTGATGCAGAGTGTACCTGCAGGGTGAAGCACTACTCCAGGGTGAGTTTACTTTTGAGATAGCCCAGTAGGTCTAGAATGCCGTTGGTTCTGGACCCGCCTTTTATTCCTTTGCAGTCATGGTCTTGTTGTAATCTGTGTCCAAGACAGGTCCACTGGTGACAGAGCTTGCATTGTAATTTGTTACTAAGGGTGAGCGTCTCTCTGCAGTCCTTTACGGCGCAGTGGGTCGGTGATGCTTGGAAAGTTTTATTCCTGTTTTGGAAGGCGACGCATTCTCCGGAATTTCGGTGTCTTTCGAAAGCCTGTTTGACTGCGAGCTGCGCTGTGCTGGCGTCTCCGGGTGTGTACTTAACAGTGTGTGCACACATTTCACACACTTCTGCCCGCACGTCCTGGCGGTCTGCGAGTGACTGGTGGTCGCAGTCATGGTCTCTAGGTCGAAAGTGGGCGTCACAATAAACATTCCGGCAAAACTCACAGGTCACCGGCAAGAAGTCTTGCACGCCGCAGTAGGGATGCGAACATTTACTCGTTGCATTCGCCAAGTCCGTCATGGAAAAAAATGCGGCTCCGACCCGGGCCTGGGATTCGGGCCTCCAACTTGCCTCTTTCGACCCAAGCCAGGCTGCTGGACACGCGATTTTTGATAAATGGAGACCGCCGCGCCGGAGGCCTGTTCGCCTCGCTCTGCGCTCCGCGCCCAGAGCCCCCCAAAGCGGCTAAAGAAGACGCTCTCTTTCAAGCTGGAAGATGACGAATGGCCGCCCTCTTCTTCGTCGTCCGTACGGTCCTCCTCTGTGCGCTCCTCCTCCATCCGATCCTCTTCTGCCAGGTCGCACAAGTCGGGCAGCAGCGGAGAAGAACCCACTGAGTCTAGGTCGAGTTCTCGGTCAGCGTCTCGGAGCGGGTCCAGAACGGAGTCCAAGTCCGCCCAGTCCTCCCGAAACAACCCGAGACGAGGGTCCTGGACGCGTAACGACAGGTCGAACGGCTCGAACCCGCGACCTGGCGATCCCAGGTGGCCGGCTGAGTGGAAGACGCAGGAGTCGGTATTGGGTGCTGGAGGGCCGTCGTGTTGGGATGCAGCGAGAACCCCGGCCGGGCGGCGGAAGTTGTCGTCGCACGATGAATTGTCGGAGCGGCGGCGAACGACACCTCGGCCTCGGCGCTTCTCCGCGTTCTCGGCCTCGGTCGGCTTTCGACGAAGCATTTCAAAAGCAGCGCGACAGATTCCGCCTGAATCCGCTCGTGGTTCGTTCCGTCGTGGTTCCACCGCCGCGGCTGCAACGCTGCTCGAAACCGTGCTCCACGACGGTTCTACTGCTACCCCTCGCGCCGCTGCCCAAGGCGGTAGCTCGCCGGCCTTTTATTGCGCGGCTAGCCCGACCCGATCCGCTCCGTCCCGATCCGCTCCGACCGGACCGCAGCAAGCCAGACCGGGCGCGACGGCAGGAGGTGTCGAACCCGGATCCTTGCGCTCCGGAGTCCTTACGCCCGTCCTCGCCCCGGTCGGCCTATCCGCCCCCGTCCACGTCGGCGGTCGCGACGTAACCGCCCCCACTCACGTAGGCGGGCGTGAGTCCAAAGGCCTGTTCGGACGCTGTATCTTCCGCGGCTGTTCAGCGAGACTCGGCGGCTGCGCACACGTACAGGCCGCCATGCGAACTCAGTCGCCTCCGCCGGTCGTAGTCAAGCCCAATGGGGCGCTCGAGTGCGGTCTATCGCGCACATCATCGCCCCCCAGCCGACTCTCGGAACTCGCCTTCCGTTTAAACGAAGCCGTCCAGACCCCCATGCCCAAACCGAGCCAAACCTCACTACCCAAACCGGGTCCCGGCCCGACCAAGTCCGGAGCGGTCGCGACCAAGACGGAAGGTGCCAAGCGGAAAACACGCCTCCACAGCACCGCCGCGTGCGTGCCTGAGGAGGACGAGGACTTCATCCCTGCCAAACAGATCGCCAGACCCGGCAGTGGACCTGCCGCCGCCTGGAACTTGGTCCCCCGACCAGATGTTGGAAGTCCAGGACCCGATGTTCCGGTGCCAGATGGCCCGGGTGGCCGTTCCACGGACCCGCTGCCGTGTGGAGTCGTGCCGGTGTTGTACATTCAGCCAGCCGGGAGGACGCAACTCGCGACGTCATCGCGTGTGGTGTTGCATTCAGCGCACTTGGCGGAGCAGCCACCAGAGCTGGATCTGCGAGCGGCGGGGGGTGTTCGCGCCAATTCCGTCCCGGCGGTGCGGCAGCTTGTGGCCCCGCCGCTGGTTACCGGTTCCTCCTTAGAAGAAGACTTCATTGACGACGCCGCCGACGGGGCCGACTGGGTACCCGGAAAGGGCGCCTGGGACCCCTACCGTCCCATCCTACCCCCCAGACGCCCAGACGACTCGCAACGACTACTGCCCTTCGCCCGCGCCCCCGATCCCGGCGACGAGGAGCCCCAGGAGGACGAGAACTCACCCACCAGTAGTGAAGGTGACACCTACACTGAATTCCACACCCCGCACACGCACCGCACGCTCGACAGCGCACGATACGAAAGCACTACCATGACCGCCCGGGAACCCGAGGACCTGGAACCCGAAGCCCTACAGGCCGAGCACCGGGAATTGGGGCTAGAGGACGGGGGACTTGGACTGGAAGACCGGAGATTGGAAGACCGGAGATTGGAAGACCGGAGATTGGAAGACCGGAGATTGGAGGACCGGAGATTGGAAGACCGGAGATTGGAAGACCGGAGATTGGAAGACCGGAGATTGGAGGACCGAGAACCTCTGGACCCACTGGACCGGGAACCGGAACTCCTGGACCGCTACCGAAGCCTGGACCGAGAGCCGTTGGAGTCAGAGCGCCCGGAGGCGGAGGAGGTCCCGCCCTGCTCAGGAGGCCCATTTCTGGTTGCGGCGCCTTCCTTCAAAGATGAAGAATCATTCAAAGGTCAACAATCGCTCAAGGATGACGTGGCCGGTTTGTCAAGCTCGGATGGCGAATGCGGCACGGCCCGCACCGCAAGGCCTCCCGACTCCGGCGACCACCCATACGATCCGCCTGCCGGGCAGCTGGCCGATGGTCGAAATGGTCTTGGTCCGGTTGGGACCAGTCCGGTTGGGACCAGTCCGATTGGGACCAGTCCGGTCGGGGCTTGGCGGATGCCCGTGGATAGTCAGTCGGGTGGGACTCAGCACAGCCCGAGTCCTGAGGCGGCTGTGCGTTGCCGCGCATGTCAGTTGGACGTGTTCCGTAAGGGGCTGAAGAGCAGTCGCTCCGATTGCGACTTGTATCTCTCCTCGGGTCGGGTGAGCTATGAGGGCGGCCGGCCGGACGATGGTTCAATTCGGTCCTCAGAGCACCCGAGGGGACCCTGCGACGGGGCCTTCGAGCAGACGTACTTGATACACCGGCCGCACCCCGGCGCGCCTCCTGGGCCATTTATGGAACAGGAGTTACGGTCGCCGGACGACCTACACACCGATGAGTTGCTGTCGCCGAAGGTGTTGCCGCCTGGGGGGTTGGTGCAAGAGTCTCAGCCCCCAAGGCCGGAGTCTCAGCCCCCAGGGCCGGAGTCTCAGCACCCAGGACCGGAGTCGCGTCCCCCAGGGCCGGAGTCGCGTCCCCCAGGGCCGGAGTCGCGTCCCCCAGGGCCTCCGTCAGTGGAGGGTATTTCGTCGCCGCTGGAGCGAAGTCTGACGGGGTCGCCGGGTCGTGGTCCTTCGGTTTGTGGTTCTTCGGGTCGTGGCCCTTCGGGCGGTGGACATTCGGGAGGGTTCCGATGGGGTTCAGGTGAGGCGGTAGATCCGCGACTGTTTCGCTTGTACTTTGCGGCTGATGCGGAGCGCTCGTTGCGTCACCTCTTTGGCACTCTCTGTGCTCGTTGTCAACGCCGGCTCTCTCCCTTCTGGGGGGGCCAGGGGCGCAGGTGCCATTACACGAATCAGACGTTCTGCACAGCCTGCTTTCCTTCCACCTCCTACAAACACGTCATACCTAACAAAGTCATCACCGACTGGGACTTCACACCCTACGACGTCCTACCCGGCTCCTACCGCTTCCTCAAAAAGGTTGCAGACCAACCTTGGATCGATATCACTAAAATGCATCCCGCCATCAAAGTATGTCCAGTGGCTTCCCCCTCTTGCTTGGTTCACGGGTACTTCACAGGTAGTTCACCAGTACGCTTGACTTTGCAGCGGCAGAACCCATGTTTACTGGATATTTGGAAGCAGCGCCACGACCTGAATTTATTGAAGCGCTTTTACATCGACTCTCAGCGAAAGAGCGGCCTGGTTTTGCGAGTCGGTTCGCAGTGCATCGATACTTTCTGCACCCATGTCATGGATTATTTGAACCCGTTCATGCCGCACATGGGATGGCTTGCGGACAATAATAGCGCCATGTTCTCATTGAACGACTTGGTGTTGATCGAGGAATATTTTCAAAGCGGACGCAAGGGGCTCCTCCATTGCTTGTTCCCCACATTTGATGGCGGCGTCCACGGAGGCATTGACGCCACTCGAACCGGCGCCTCCTCGCCCCGACTACAACACGAGTTCTTCCGCAGACTCAAAAAGGTCGTCGGCTTCTGGTCCACCCATATCCTCGACGAATGCGACGACTGCTATGACCAATTCAACACCTACTGCGTTCACCACCGAGTCACGCCACTCGTGATCGGCTCCATGTAACCACTCTGGCTGACTGCCCTCTGACTGACTGCACTGCGCGCTGACTGACTGCACTGGGCTCTGACTGATTGCGCTGGGCGTTGACTGATTGCACTGGGCGCTGATTGACTGCACTGGGCGCTGACTGCACCGCGATGGTGGCGGACTCGCGCCGAAATGCTGGTGGGGGACTCGGACCCAAGTG